GTCTTATGGGTTTGGAACGACATGAGGGTGAGTAACTAATGACAGAATTTTCATTTTTGGGTGAACGACCCCTTTAATTACAGGCCTGACTGGGCCAGTGAAGAAAAAAAAAATGTCAATAAATAAAACATTTGTAAATAAATAACTAAAACTGTTGAGCCTAGAATATGTTTTCATTTAAAGAATACAGAATATCAATGCAGCATTAAAGGTAAATTATTGCTTAAAATACTGTTTAATATCCATTTAATCCATCACTAACCTTTAGGCTATCTAGAAGCATATCAGAATACTCCTCTCGTTCGACTTTGTTGTGATTTATCCAAGATTTAATAGCTGCAGTTGGATTTTGTGAGCTTGGCACACCATCTGAAAAAGCAAATGCTAATTACAAACATAAGTTAACACGATCTCTGACTCTTTCTGATTAAAAGCTCTCATCTGAAGTGAAACCAATATGCTGTTAATGCCATTTATTCACCTTTAAAATGACAGAATTTTCATTTTTGGGTGAACGACCCCTTTAATTACAGGCCTGACTGGGCCAGTGAAGAAAAAAAAAATGTCAATAAATAAAACATTTGTAAATAAATAACTAAAACTGTTGAGCCTAGAATATGTTTTCATTTAAAGAATACAGAATATCAATGCAGCATTAAAGGTAAATTATTGCTTAAAATACTGTTTAATATCCATTTAATCCATCACTAACCTTTAGGCTATCTAGAAGCATATCAGAATACTCCTCTCGTTCGACTTTGTTGTGATTTATCCAAGATTTAATAGCTGCAGTTGGATTTTGTGAGCTTGGCACACCATCTGAAAAAGCAAATGCTAATTACAAACATAAGTTAACGCGATCTCTGACTCTTTCTGATTAAAAGCTCTCATCTGAAGTGAAACCAATTTGCTGTTAATGCCATTTATTCACCTTTAATGATATCTATGAGAAGGCACAATGGCAAGTTCAGGAACTCCTCTGTCTGGTGCAGCTGAACCAGGTGAATCTTCGCACAGTGCTTGGCAGCCGTATACAACTCCTGGTCACTGTGTCTATCTGCCAACCACATCACCTGAAATAAAAAATGAACAACAGTTTTCTACTGATTCAGCTGACATTTATCAATACTTTTTTTGTGTGTATATTACAAAAAGTAGTTTCACCTGGAGGCAGTTCTTGACGTCCACAGTTCGTGACAGGAAGCGAGAGCACTCCTCAAACAGGGCAGTGAGCTGATACATATCAGCCATCTCATAAGTGTCCTGCAGGTCTTCAACCCTTAGTTTGATCGTCCCATGGTAGATGTAGTCCACCAGCGACTGGAAGACTGGTGCACTGACATCCTTCAGCTCAATATTACGATCATAAGTTTCTCTAAGGTTAGAGGTGAACATTGACCTGAAGAAGCAGCTTTGTGCAGAAAGCACCAGGCGGTGAAGCTGGAACTCTTTGCTGTCCACGGTGATGGTGACATCTGCAAACAAACCATCCTCCAGACACAAGTCCATGATGCTCTTCACAACACGGCTGGAATGGGAGCGATCTGTGAAGGTGTAGCCCTGGAAGTAGTTTTCATCCCCTGATGGACCTCCAACACTGTAGCCCCCGTCTTCACTGGACTCCATGGCGCCTATAAAATCTAAAGCAGCTTCACCCGAATACTAGATGAATGACTTACTGGATCAGCTGTCCCTCAGATGGATTAATTCATGTAGTTTTAATTGTTGACTGGGAGGCTGGGATTTGCCTTAGGATATAACACTCAGTAGGCTCTAAAATTGCTTTCAGATTGATTTAAAGCCATATGTAGAATTCTTTATGAATAAAAAACTGCTGCTTGCTATCTACACAAAAAGTATTCCAAATAGTTTAATAAGATATTTATAGATGGTTTTGCATTTATACGGTTCCATCAGAACTGATCGACTTGGTATTCGAATAAGCACAGTTCGCTCAGTCAAATTATGGCCATCTATGGTAAACTGGCCAGCTATGTAGCTAATGCTAACTTAAGCCATTTAGATTAAGGTCTGTTTCAGTTTCACCATCCTAATGAGCCCACAATCGAGAAAACAGTGTGCCAGATGTAAAACTGTAGACAGCACACGCGCGTTATCATTTATAAATGTTAGCATGTGTTAAATCTTTGCCATACCAGAAGACTGCTTGTGAGCTTCAGGAAGTAAACAGCACATTCTTCGTATTGACGTCACCGCGTGTTTACGCGACTCTCTGCTGCGCCCGTGTGTTGGAGGTCTGTCATTGCATTGCATATCGAAAAAATATATACATTTTTAAACGTATTTTCAAGTAACGTAGCTTTTCATTCATCTCTATTACACAATATAATCTTACAATTATTTACAATAAAAAAATAAATAGATATAAGTGACGTCACCGCGTGTTTACGCAACTCTCTGCTGCGCCCGTGTGTTGGAGGTCTGTCATTGCATTGCATATCGAAAAAATATATACATTTTTAAACGTATTTTCAAGTAACGTAGCTTTTCATTAATCTCTATTACACAATATAATCTTACAATTATTTACAATAAAAAAAGAAATAGATATAAGTCACCATCTCTAGTAGTCGCATTTTTTCTCTCCCAGTTTGGCGCAAATTGTGTTTTTCCGCAGGTGAAAAAATGCGACGCACTAAAGACTGTCTAACTCGGGAATCCCGTTTTTGTGGGGCTAAAACGGATGACGACTGAAAGCTGCGTGAATCAAGTGCAGTTTTATTTTTGTTGCAATGTTGTTGACTCAGATTAAAGTGGTATGTGTTGTCCTGTGCCTCATTGGCTTCAGGGAGCCCTGGAATACCTCAGGTAAAGACTTTCAACTTAAAGAGACATGTGCAGTTCTTCTGTTTAAATACTTAAATCTTTGTTGTTACACACCTTTATGTAGATTAATCATATGTGCAGGCTTGTTTTCCTTGTGTGATCATAGTAGTACTTGATTTTATTAGCTATTCCAGTGCTGTTGGACTGTGGCACTGGCACTTCTGTGGCATGTTGGACATGATTTCTGCCAACCGTGACGTCAGAGTAGCATATTTTCCCCCTTTATTTTCTGCAAGCACTATTTGATGCTTAAAACTTTGGTTTTGTTTTACTCATACTCAGTTTATCATGGCATTGCTCACATAGCTCTGAATAGCTCAGACTTGTTTGTCTTACAGCTCAAGTTGAATGCTTTTCATGTAACTCATGAGTCTGTGCTATCATGCAGATGTTACAGCGGTTCTGCACGGAGGACTCGCACATCAAGGCGTTATCAGATCTGTAAATGATGCTAACCTGATGTTTGAGGTAAGAAGGTATAGCTGTAATACATTCCACAAAGCAATAAAAGCCACACTTCATTTTACCATATGTGAGCCTGGACCACAAAACCACAGTTTTTTTTTGTTTTGTTTTTTAATTGAGATTTATACATCATCTGAAAGCTGAATAAATAAGCGTTTGTTAGGATAGGACAATATTTGACCGGGATACAACTATTTGAAAATCTGGAATCTGAGGGTGGAAAAAAAAAAAAAATCAAAATATTGAGAAAATCTCCTTTAAAGTTGTCCAGATAAAGTTATTAGCAATGCATATTACTAATAAAAAATTAAGTTTTGATATATTTACGGTAGGAAATTTACAAAATATCTTCATGTAACATGATCTTAACTTAATATTCTAATGATTTTTGGCATAAAAGAAAAATAATAAATAATTTTGACCCATACAATGTATTTTTGGCTATTGCTACAAATATACTGTGCTACTTATGACTGGTTGTGTGGTCCAGGGTCACATATATTGATGTACAGTAATTAAATTCATTATTGTAGTGAACGCATTCATTTATTTCAAAGATCAGTTAAAAACTATAGTTAATACTATAGCAGTGTGTCACTGGAATGATAAAATTTCTCTTAAATACACTTTGAGGTGATTTTTTATGACCATTTTTAATATAAAGCTTAATAGCCTTTATTGTACATAAAATGTTAAGCAGAAATTCATTCTACATTTCATTTAAAATATTTTAAACATTTCTAATTGCTCCATAAGTATTATGCATGCAGTTTTTATAACTATGTATTGAGAGACTACATGGAATATTTAATCGTTTCTCACACTCCTGGACTGTTTAAGCAAAATGCAAAATAAATACTATGATTATAATCTTATGATCTAACTAAACTACAAATATAGACAACTGCTGAAGAAACAACTCTATGGAGTCCCAAAAGGGCACATAGTGATGGAAAACATGAGATAGAAGGAATGTATTTTTAATAATAATCATGTAATTATATTTTCTGAATTTGCAAGCAAAACGTTTGTTCCCCAAGAAACTTTGCATTTGCTAACAAGAATGTTGTTTTCCAAGAAACTCAATAAATTTTTACATTTCAGTGCTATAAAGCACATTTAAACAATATTTTTGCAAGCAAACATAAGCAACATTTCCCCCATCACCACATCACTTAATGGGCTCCAGAGTCCATACCTTACAGATCAGCTCACAATTTTTTTTTTAAATCCTAGTTCTTATGGAGAGGACTGGAGATTGATGCCGACAATAATGTTGTCATGCGGGATCAAGAAATTGCATCGATGCAACAAGGGCGAGCTTTCTTATCTCTTATAAACGACAGTATCCCAAAGACTGTCTCTGCAATGGAGAAGTTACTGGCTATGCTGGAAGAGCAAGACAACTCTTTCACTCAGACCCGTTTTGAGACCCTCCTCCTCGGGACAATCTATTCAGCCTACCAGGCACAAAACCAGAGGCTAGAGTCGGAGCAGCAGGCCTGGATGGATATTCTTGGTCGTTTTGCAAATGTTACTTTCGTTCAGCTACGCAAGTCTTAACTAACAATATACATACCAGTGATTCACAAGTTCACACGTACAGAAAATCAGATAAAGAGTGTGCATATTTGGCGTGCTGTCCGAGGGGAGGGCTCTGAGCTCGGAATTTGGCCTGAACCCAGAGTACTCACCCATATCCTAGACTGGGATAGGAAAAGTCGAGTGAGGAGTTGGGGTGGTGAAGGGATGCTGGAAACTGTTGAGGGACAGTGGTGAGTCGGCTGTGTGTATATATATATATATATATATATATATATGGGGCCTCCTCTCGTGCTGATTGGGTAGATTAGATTATCTGAACATGTTCCTCCCAAACTTTGTTAAATAAACATCATTTAAAGTAACATCCTGATTATTTGTACCTGGTTTATATGACTCAAAGAATATGAACCTCTTATTACACTAATAAAGACACATGACGAAGTTTTTAATGTAAAAAAGTACAAAAGTTTATTTTGAACAGAATATACATATTTTAGGCCCTATAAAAGGTAACAAAACAAGTCTGTATTTTAATTTTTGTTGTTCCAGGATTTATATATTGACATGAGCCTGAGCCTGAGTATCTAGTTTTAAAGTTCAGTGTATTCTCTCTCACTTTTTCTTTGCTTTTGATGTCTTGCAATCTGTCTTGCTCTTGGTTTTGGACTTGGTCTCTGTTGATGATGACAGCTTTTTCTTGAGCTTGGCATCATCAGCAGCCGCTCTTCTATCTCTATTTGTGCGCTGCTGAGTGCTACGCTGGGATCTGGAGGTTCCAGGTCTGCCTCCACTGTCCTCCACTGTTTGTTTCCCATTAACACTGTTCTGTGTGTCCTCTCGGTTCCAGATCAAAATGTTATAGCCTGTAATTAAAGTGTACAACTTTTCAAATTAATTATACCTACTATCGCTGCTCATGACTACTATGATTATAAACAGTAAATTATATTTTACCCATTCCAGAAGCCAGCACATCTCCAGCTGGACTAAACTTGTTGAGCTGAAATAAAATAAACATGTAATATTATAGTGGTGCCTGCAATCAGATATCAAGTCCATCTACGATTATATACAGACTACCGTTCAAAACATTTTTAAAAGAAGTCTCTTATGGTCGCCAAATTTTTAATAATTTTATTAAAAATACATTAAAAAAAACAGCAATATTGTGAAATATTTTTACAATTTCACTAACTTTTTAATATATTTTAAAAGGTCATGTGTCACATGATCCTTCTGAAAACAAGCTGATTTGGAGCTCAAACATTTTATCAGCTGTGCCTTAATATTTTTGTGGAAATCATTATCATTTTTCTTTATTATTTGATAAACAGAAAATTCAAAAGAACAGCATTTATTTTACATAGAAATCTTTTCTAATATTCTAAGGATGCTTTCACACTAGCACTTTTGGTGCGCATCCACAAACCGTACCCGAGTCCGCTTAAAAGGGGTGGTCTGAGGTACGGTTCATGTGAACTCCGGTACGGTTTGCTGCTGATGAGAACGCAATCGTACCAAATCACGGAAGTGAACCGCTATTAATGACGTATTATTTGATAAAAAAATGTGTGTTTGTGTTTCACTCACTTTCCTGACGAGCATGACTGATGCGCTCCATGCAGAGAGCTGTATATCTTATTTCTGTTCGCCTTCAGAGTTCTTTAGAGCATTTGCATTACATTCGTAAGACAGACGTAAGTGCCGTTATGTACTGAAGCTTTTGGAAACAAATCCAATTGTTCAAAAACATAAATATATAAAAATGAAGAGAGCAACTATGCATTTTGCTGCCTTCTCCTGCGCTGTCGTTACTAAGCAATGGGGTAAACAGCTGCTGGCTTGATGACGCGAACCACGGTTCAGACCAAATAAAATAATTTGAACACAGTCCAGTGGGGGCAGAGGGGAGGGGGAAGCAATCGAACTCGGGTTCGGACCAGGCAAGCAAACCAAGTGTGAACGCACCCTAAATGTCTTCACTCTCATTTTTGATCAATTTACTGCAGCCTCACTGAATCAAAATATTAATTTCTTTAAAAAAAATCTTACTGACTCCAAACTTTTGACTGGTAGTGTATACATTTTTAGGAATTCTAATTAACATTTTAATTTTTTTTCATATTTAAAAGCAAAAAACATTCTTACAGATATGATACCAGCAGCATTGGGGTCTCTCAGCTGATGCACAAGCCCACCACTGTTGGCATCATAAATGTCAATAGTTCTCTTGTCATTGATTAATACTTGATCATCTGGGTAACGGCCAGCCACGATGAGGTCATACATGGGATGCCAGGTTGCCTGATGGAAGAAATTTTGCAAAACTAAACTCTAGGACATCAATAGTCCTGCATCTCTGAGATGCCTGTAAACTTGATTACAACATAAACAACATGGGGAAAAAAGCCAAGCAAGTGAAACTTGCAGTTTAGGCTAAAGGAACTCTTACCTTGATGGGTGTTAAGTGCTGGAACTGTCGATGAGGATGAACAATTATTTGATGAGGTTTAGACCAGTCATATGAACAATATACCCTGATCTGGTTCCTCTGGTCTGTAGTCAGGAGCTTGGTGCTGTCTGTTGGATTAAAGTACGCTGAAAGAAAAAACATTAATTTTACAATTTGCACTGTACAGTTGAGAGACTTTTATTACTTCTTCCCCTCCTCAATTTAATAATCATATATATAGTCTCTTACCAGAATTGACTGGTTTTTCATGAGGCAATTCAGTGATATAACTGCTTTTGTCTTTAATATTTCTGAGGTCCCACAACTTGACTGTAGCATCAACAGAGGATGTAGCCATCAGCCAATCACAACGAGGGTTGAATTCTGCATGGGTCACTTTGGCTTTGTGCAGCTTCTCTTTGAAAATCTAAATGTTTTTGAAAATACGAATATCAGACAGCTTTATTCTTGATTTTGGCAATGAGAATTGATTTAGATATTCCCTCACTTACCTCATGTCCATCAAGGCCAAACAGAAGTAGTCGTCCAGTATTGTCTCCAGTCACAAGCATCTGACGACTAACAGACACGTCCACACAGCAGTACCAGTAACTGGGAGAGTGACATTTGTGGCATTAAAACTATATATACAAACATCTTAACATAATATCCAATTTATACCTAATAATGGCAGTGAAAGGGCTTTAAAAAGTGAAAGACTGTGATCACATCTTTTCAAAGAAGCAGAAACTTACTGAAAGACAAATGTGGCAAACAATCTCAGACAAATCAACAATCAATCTATACTACATGCTGAAAGGCAATTGTTCTTACAGAACAGCAATACGGAATACTGAACATAACCATGAAATATATAAACACCACCAAAAAAGTATATTCGATTTCCCGACACTGGAGAGCAATTCACAAAAGAGTTCAAACAAGCACTGTCCTCAACCAAAGATCTTGGTGGTCATGGCCACAATCTGGGGTTCGAGACAATATCTGACTTTGGAGGCCCTCAAAACTCTGCACGCTGACTGTGCCATCACCAGAAGCAACAAAGATTTCGGACACATCTGTGGGGCAGAACTTCATCCCCCCTATAAAATCACCAGCTTCCTGACTACAGCTCCCTGGGCACAACAGACAAACACAAGCTTGTTAGATCTACACATAGCTGTCAAACCAAGTACTGTCATGAGAAGGGAGGACTCAATGGTCAGGGAGGACTGTGGGTTCAACATGACTACAAATTAATACAGCAACTAAACCGACCCAACAACATGAAGGAGATGAAGACAAACAATGTTCTTCAACACAGCCATAAACACCAGCATTCACAATTACATACCACAAATAGTGAAGGACAACAATACTGACAAAATGGATTTATCTCAGATAACCTAAAATCTAATAGCTTAGCAACAGAACATTAAGTTTCATTAAAAGCAACATAATCAATGACATGAGCATACTGTCACACATAGCATAACTAACTGCAAAAAACAATCAAATGATTTCATCCTCTGATCTATCACAGGGTTTATCCAACTTCATACCAATCAAAATATATGCAAATACATTCAATGCCCACTTTATCTATGACATGGAACTGAATTTTATAACTTTGTTAACACTGAAACTGTTAAACTTCAAACACAGGCAAGTTCTTCCATATTTAAGAGCCAACGGAATCAAACACTGATAACTGATGTTGAACTCTCACACTTATTATACTGTAATTCAGCTGAATGAACAGAAGTGCCCAACAACAGGACAGAAGTATCGGGTCAACTTCAACTTCAATTTAAAAGTATTTTAAATCTCGGTGTGGTCAATGTTTCTTTGAGAGCAAATGGGAGAACTACCATAACTGCTAATAAGGGAACTCGCTTACTCCCATGAATCTGTTTTGGCAAAGACTTGTACAACCGATCCACTGAAATCCCGAAGGGTGGTAGCACCCCAAATAGATGAGATGAACAGCTGATTGGTATTGAATTGGTTAAACTTCATGCCTGTTATTGCATCTCCAGGACCCATCTGGAAGAACAGGAGAAAATCTCAGCAGTTGCTAAAATAGCATCTTTGATCTATTGTAATCTGAGCAAATGCTAAAATGTACTTTTACACTCAGAAAAAAGGTACAAAGATGTCACAGTGACAGTACATCTTTGTACCTTACTTACCCCTAAATAGTACATATTAGTACCCAAAGTGAACATATTTGTACCGTTTGAAAGGTCCCCAGTGACAGTTTTGTACTTTTTTCTGTGAGTGTACAGTACTACATTTAATGGTATATAGACTATTTATTAGCTATTTATGCATTTATATAGATTTTTTTATTTCAAGTGAGTTAACCATTTATATCAGTAAACTACCCTGCAGAGGAACACAGTATAAATTTCACAATAATTTGATTTTACGGAAACCCCAAAAGTATTTGGACACTTAAAATGTATGTCATTGCATAATTAGATACATTTCAAACCATGATGCATCTGCGAACAAATGATTCTAAACATTTTCTCAGAAGTAACTTCACTTTCCTGAGTCATGTTTACAATTTCTAGAAAGTGAAAGGGTCCAGATTTCTAGAAACTACAAAGTGTTCAAATATTTTTTATCTTCATTTTGAACATTATATTCTTCACTTCAATCTGGCTTTATCTCACCCCCTGTATGAAGGTTCTCTTATTCAGCATATCATAATCCCACAGGATGATGTCTCCACCCTTGGAGCCCACTGCAACAGTGGTGGGATGGGTGGGATGCCATTCCAGACAAGTGACCCTCCGATCGAAGGGGCTGGCTGTGCGGTGAAGTTTGTAGGCTCTAAGTGAGCGTATAAAAGGCTCTTGCAGACACTATAAAGCAATGGGGAGTGTTACATAATACTGTAATATTTGTAGAAAACTTACACCAGTTTTCTATAAAGTTCACAAGTACATTATATACAGTGGTGGCCAAAATTACTAGAACACTAGTATTTTCACCAGCTAAAAATGGTAATTTCTATCTTTTGCTGTAGTGTGTCAGTAGGAAATATCAGTTTACGTTTCCAAACATTCATTTTGCCATTAATTGTAATAATCCAGTGAGATTTTTGTTTGCACAAGGAGTTTGACAACAGCCAGTGCTCCACACAGAGATCTGATCTCATTATCATCAGTCAGTCTGTCTGGAATGACATGAAGAAACAGAACAAACTGAGACAGACTAAATCCAGAAGAAGTGTGGCAACATATCCAAGATGCTTCAAGAAACCTACCAAAGCTACAGTACTGTTAAAAGTTTTAGACACTTGTGTAAAAATGCTGTAAAATGAGGAGGCTGTCAAAAAGAATGTCATAAATAGATTTTCTTTATCAATTAACTTTATGAACTAAATTAAATTAACATTTGCTGTGACCATCCTTTGCGTTCAAAGCAGCTTTTGCCCTAGGTGCACTTGCGCATAGTTTTTCAGGTAGCTTTGCAGATAGGTCTCTTGAAGTGTCTTGGAGACGTTGCCACAGTTCTTCTGGATTTAGTCTGTCTCAGTTCATTCTGTTTCTTCATGTCATTCCAGACAGACGGGAATGTGCATTATGTGCTTGTCATCACCTGGCGCAGCTGAGCATGGATGCTCTGTCCCAAGGAGCTTTTGTAAATGTAGTGAAGGATACTTGTTTGTCCCACTCTTTTCTGAGCTCCAATCCATTTGACACTTGCTTGTATGTAGGTTTCTGTTACATTACACAAATACAGTTTAGCTCATTAGACAATTTTGATTAATGACCGGTTAGTCCTGTAAACAAGTTGTTTTTCATCCATAAATTAAACTCTGCATATTTAAACACAATTGTGCAATTATTAATTATTCGCAGCTTTGCTTACCAGTTTTTTTCGCTGCCTTGCCTTCTTTTTTGGCTTTCAGCTTCTTGGAGAGTGTTTCAGTTTGTTCTTCATTCGGTCTTTTCTTTGAATTGACTTTCTTCGTCTGCTTCGATGCAGAGGAATCTGTCTGAGCCCTTCCTCGCGCCATTAAAAGTCTACTTTCTCTTTGAAAGAGGTCGACAAAGACATTGCATGTCAGATATATCACTGTTGCAAATTGTAGATACAGTCCGATCGACTAGAATCATGCACTTACTTTCTTACCTGCAGATGTAAAACGATCTACATTACATTCACCATCAGATCGGGAAATCGGGTCACAGATCAACATCGCTACACGTGCACAGACACGCATTTAGGCTACATTCAGTGACGTAAGAAACCTAATGTTTTGTAACGTTACGCGCAATACAGAATGTATCCACTAGAGATGCCACTAAATGCTGGCAAGTATCCACATACTTTGAGCAAATCGTGTACACGTTTTTTATTTAAAATAAATTATGACTGTGATTTAGTTCATTTCTGATTTAAATATTTTAATTTTTTAAAGATATGAAAATATACTGCAGTAGAAATATGTATACATTCCTGGCACCTTCGCTGTTTAGTGTACAAAAATATTGCCTGAAAACTCAATTGCAATTGCTTACTTTCATAAATGTTAATTGCAGCCTCAGTTCATACTAATAATACGAGCATAATATAATACTATGTAATTATAATTGAGATATAATATTTAGAATTGAATTTAATTGAATACAATATATTGCATTCATTTTTAGACGAGTTTGGGGGCATGAAAATATTAAAACAAACAAACAAACAAACAAAATCTTTAGATATAATAGTTTACA